TGCACTCCAGTCTGGGTGACAGAGTGAGACTCCAACTCAAAAAAAAAAAAACAAAAAAAATAAATACATCTTTTTCAAAAGCTCATTCTTATGAGACAGAAAGGAATGGCTTCTGTTGAGACAAGAATAGTAAGGCTGGAAAAGGCATCTGTTATGAAAGAGACTAAACTTGCCCACCTTCCCTATACATATCAGAATGTGGCTGTGTGTAATTCTACGACCAAACTCAAACAAAACCTTTGCTGTTTCCTCGGCAATGACTCAGTGTGGAAAATGTCATCCAAGATTTTGATGTGCCTGTTGGCCCATTATTTTAAGGTTCTGTTTTATGATTAGCATTACTTATTTTGATTCTGCTCTCTTTTCCCTGCTTCTTTGCCCAAATACTCATGAGTTGAAGGCTGGAAACAACTCAAATATCTGTCACCAGTTGAATGAATAAATCAACTGTTGTGTAGTCATATAATAGAATACCACTCAGCAATAAAAAAGAATGAACCACTGGTATATGCGGTAACATGGATGAATTACAGAAGCATGAGTGACAGAAGCAGATGCAAAAGAGTACTTATAGTATTATTTCTTTTACTGAAACTTTAAGAGAAGCAAAATTAATCTGTAACTGTACTAGTTATCTCTTGCTGCCTCTGGGTGCCTTGAAGTCACCCAGACACAGCAATATGTAAGTCAGGACTGCAGTCTCTTCTGAAGGCTTGAGTGAGGGCTGGTCTGTTTATAAGCTTACTCGTGTAGTTATGGGCAGGACTTAAGTTTCTCACGTGTCAGACTGGGGTCTCTGTTCACTGGTTTAGCCTGAAGGCCTCTCTCAGTTCCTCACCATAAGGTCCTCTCCATAGGGCAGCTCATGGCATGCAGCCAGCTTCCCACAGAGTGAATGACTGAGGGAGAGAAAGATGGAAGCCAGCCTTTCATTAATCCCAAAAGTGACATTCATCTATTTTGTCATATTCTTTATAAGTCACTAAGTCCAGTCCACATTCAAGGGTTTGAAGACCAGAAGATAGGAGGCCCTCTTATAGGTCAAACTTAATTTAAATGTAATGTTTTATTTAGCTGGACATGGTAGTGCGTGCCTGTAGTTCCAGCTACTTGGAAGGCTGAGGTGGAAGGACCGCTGGAGCCCGGCAGATCGACGCTGGGGTGGCCATAAGCATGCCACTGCACTCCAGCCTGGGCAATGGAGTGAGACTCCAACTCAAAAAAAAATAATGTTTTATATGTAACAATGCAGAATGACCATGAACAGTATGCATTTTAAGAAGGCTCAGCACACTGAAACTCGTCTTTTGATTACTGCCTAAAATTCCAGAGATTTTTGACACTTCGTTTTAAGAAGTTAATTAGTAAAATACAGGCTTTCCAGAGAGAATTTCCCTTTGAAGTAATAATAGTACCACTGACACTTGAACAACATTGGGGCTAGGGGCATTGAATCCCTCCCTGCACAGTTGAAAATCCACCGATAACACGTACCCCCAAAGTTTAACTACCAAGAGCCTACTGTGACCAGAAGCATCACAAATAACATAAACAGTTGATTAATGCATATTTGTATGATGTATCTTAGAATAAAGTAAGCCAGAGAAAAATGTTTAAAATATTGAGAAAGAAGCCGGGCTTGGTGGCTCAGCCTGTAATGCCGCGCCTTTGGGAGGCTGAGGTGAGTGGATTGCCTGAGCCCACGGGTTCGAGACCCGCCTGGGCAGCGAGACCTCATCTCTACAATAAATCAAAAAAAAAATTAGCCGGGTGTGGTAGCGCACGCCTGTAGCTCCAGCTACTTGGAAGGCTGAGGCGGAAGGATCGCCGGAGCCCAGCAGGTTAAGGCTGCGGTGGCCGGGAGCGGCCACTGCACTCCAGTCTGGGCGACAGAGTGAGACTCCAACTCATTAAAAAAAAAAAAATTTGAGGAAGAGATGTATTTACTGTGAAGTGGAAGTGGCTCATCAAAAAGGTCTTCATCCTTGTCTTCAAGTTGAGTAGCTGAAGAGGAAGGGTTGTTCTTGCTGTCTCGGGGTGGCAGAGGCAGAAGAAAATCTATGATAAGTGGACCTGCACAGTTGAAACTTGAGTTGAAGGGTCAGCCATACTGTATTTTATGCTGTATTTGATCCAGATCCCCTTGGGTAAGGAAGAGGGTCAGCAAAAAAACAGGGCAACCCGGAGAAGCCCTTGTAAGAGAAACAATGTGTCTTGGCCTCTAGTCAGCAGACCTGCAGATAGACTAGCTCAGTCTTTTCACAGTGTGATTATGCACTGACGTTCCATTTGCAGTATGTTTGTTGCTTGATCTTAGGTCATAAATGTTTGAATTAGGTTTTTTCTTTTTTTTGGTTTTACTTAAAAGGGGCCATGTTTGCAGGTGACTATTAGACACTGAATGACTTTCCAATATTCTCTCCAGTTTTCTACACCCACCCATTATCTTAACTGGTATTTTCATGCATTTGTGCAAGTTAAAGTCGTGGTGATGACATGAGTGAAGGCACGCAAGCCCTTTGACCAGTGTTCAGCAAACAGTAAACGCCCAGTACTATCATGACTGATGCTGGTGTTCTCTGCTGCTTGGAGCTCCACTCCCACCTTCCGCTAGTCCACTTCCTTCTTCTACACCGGCAATTCCAACCCATGACCCACAGGCTGCACGCAGCCCCCCCAACACCTTTTAACATGTGTTTGTTGGTGTTCATTTTCTTCATGACCTCATTTGTAGTTCCATTTTTGAAGTTCACAATCACACCTTATTCAAGACATGGCTTTTTTGGCAACACATGCATTTGTGAGCAGCTGTTTTCTATGATGAAGCACATGAAGAGCAAAATTTGAACAAACACTTTGACAAGCTCCTTGAGAACTCACTAAGAACTGTGACCACTTACATCGAGCCAGACACTGAGAGATTAGTTTTACAAAAACAAGGTCAAATTTCCTACTAGTTTTACATTGTTCTCACTTTCTAAACTTTATAATAAAAAATTTTTTAAAATAACTCTTATTTTTGTATAGATGCTAACTATATTATATAAGTTATGTGTGGCTCAAGCCAATTCTTCTTTAGTAAGTGTGGCCCAGGAAAGCCAAAAGGTTGGACACCTCCGGTCTACACTATCTTCCTCCTCTTCAGATCTGGGCAGTTTTCTGTTCATCTTCTTACATAGTCTCACTGCTACCTGGCCCTACTAAAATTCCTTCTCTTTTGCTCCTTGTCACATCCCCCACAAACGTTGATCTAGCCCCTCTCCATTCTTCTGGGATGAAGAAGCTTCTACTCACAGAGAAGACTGTTGTCTATCCAAATCCTCTCCTCCTACCTCTCCCCACTAAATCCTTGCACTCACCTCTCCTCTGCTTCCAGTGTCAACTCTTCCCTCCTGTATCCACGGAAGGTGCGTTCTTCTGTGGCTAAGTTCTCCACCTCTATTTTGCATTCAGTTCTTCGGTTGGAATTAGACTCTGCTGCAAACAGAAGAATCCCTACATAACAATAGGTTTTTTGTTTTTTTTTAAGAAGGATTTATTGAGAGGATAAAAAAATCTCCCACAGTGGGAGGGGACCTGAGGGGGTTGCCAACAGTAGCTTGTTAAGAGGAGTTTCTCTCAGGTGAAAGAACACAGAAATTCATATGGAAACAAAAACAACCATGAATAGCCAAAACAATCCTCTGCAAAAGAAACAAAGCAGGCGGTATCACATTTCCAGACTTTAAACATTATTAATAAGGGGCTCCAATAATAAAAACAGCCTGGAATTGGTACAAGAACAGGCATATAGACCAATGGAACAGGATATAAATTCTGGAAGCTAAAAAAAGTTGATCTCCGGCCAGGCTCGGTGGCTCAGCCTGTAATCCCGCGCTTTGGGAGGCTGAGGTGAGTGGATGGCCTGAGCCTGCGGGATCGAGACCCGCCTGGGCAGCGAGACCTCATCTCTACAATAAATAATCAGCCGGGCGTGATAGCACATGCCTGTAATTCTAGCTACTGGGAAGGCTGAGGCGGAAGGATCGCCGGAGCCCAGCAGGTCGAGGCTGCGGTGGCCGGGAGCGGCCGCTGCGCTCCAGTCTGGGCGACAGAGTGAGACTCCAACTCAAAAACAAAGAGCAGAGAGACAGCCCACAGAAAGGGAAAAAATATTGGCCATTTGCCGGGAAAACCAGCGACCTCAACTTCCCGGAAGCAAAACGAAGTCTAAGGGGCCCTCCTCTCCCTTATAAAAGACACGGCCATCGCTGGAGAGGCCACGCAACCCACAGCGACGGGACAGAGCGCGGCCAGCCGGCTGCGGAGACGAGCGACGGAGTCGCGCTCGGCGGGGAAGAGGGCGTCCACGGGAGATCCGCGCTCCGACCTGAGGAAGCGGCTTGCTGGGCTGCACAGGCCGAGGCGGGTTTGGAGGCCTCAGCCCTCCTGGCCGCCGGCGAGCCCGCCCGCTCCACACGCGTCCCGGGCGCCACGCTCCGTCCCGAGAGAGCCGGCCTCCTCTCCCGGCTCTGGGCCTTTCTTCCTCGCCGCGAAACGCGCCTCGCGCCCGACCGTCTCGGCTCCTCGAGGCCGTTGCCCCGGGTCACTCGGCCTACACACGCGTCCGCTTTGCGCCAGACCAAGCCTTTCGGCGCTGTCTTATTTCACTTCACAAATGACACACGAGTACTCAGTGTTTGGGGTTTTTGTTTTTTCGTTTTGAGCAGCCTCGACCTCCGGGCTCAAGCGATCCTCTCGCCTCCGCCTCCAGAGTAGAGGGACTACGGGCGCCCTATTTTTTGATTTTTTTTTTTAATAGAGACGACACCTCGCCAAGTTGCCGGGCTGGTCTCGAACGCCTGGGCTCAAGCAATCCTCCCGCCTCGGCCTCCCAAAGTGCGGAGTCACAATCATTGTCTTTTCTAAAAAGCTACAAGTCCCTCGGACGTGTCCCTTGGACACACGATGGCGACATCAAGACCCTCAGAGACTAGACAAGGAGGCGGACGGCAGGCAGGGCCGGCGGTGATCCTCCCGACTCGTTTGTGCGAGACGCGCAGTCGCGTCTGTCATGCAGGGCTCGATACCCTGGCGGGTGCTCCGGGCTGAAAGCGGCGTCGCAGTCAACGCGACCACGAACGCGGAAGCCCCGCCCCCGCCCGCGTCGCGCAACGCGCGGCTCAGCAGGCGGGGTAAGGCCGGCACGGAGTCTCGCGAGTTCGGGATCCGAGCGGAAAACCCGGGGGAGGTGCTTCTCGGTTGCACTTCCGGGGCGCCGGGGCGGAGAGACGCCGCGGTTTCTGCCGGGAGCTGGGGCCGGGAAGATGGTGGTCACCAGGTCCGCGCGGGCGCAAGCCGGCACCCCAGCCACGCGGGCTGGCGGCCCCCAGCAGAAGGTAGGAAGGCCCATTCTTCGCAGCCCCTGCAGAGCTGCGCGCAGGCCGGGGTACCGCGGAGGGATCTGGCGGGGTGTGCGGAGCTCCGCGGACAGGGCCCGAGCCCGCCGCGCGCTGGGTAGCCGGGCCCCGCGCTGAACCTACCCCAGAAGTCGTTGTGTCCTCACCACGATTCTCTAAGGCTTAGTATGGAAGAGGTATCTTGCTTGGGTTCGTCCCGTTCCCTAATTCAAGCCTCTGGACCATTCTGTTGACGCGTACCGGGAAAGGCGACTTTCGCCACGATGCGGAAGCCTCATTTAGTGGGGTTGAAAGGACATCGTTTTCGCGTGGGGAAGCTGGCGGTGACCCATTATCCCCTCCTTGGGCGTGGGAGGGCTGTGGTGACGCCGCTGGTGACTCTTCGTAGCGTTAGTCCGCTGTCTCATTCTGATTCTGCGATGAAGGGAGTAGCGGCGGCCGGTTTCGTGTATGTGAAGGCGAGGGCGGCGACCGAGTCCATCATTTGTTCCTAAACACATCTTTGCTCACAGTTGGTATTCCCCTCGTCCCCTCTTACGACGCACATGCGTCAGAATGTTAGGTCCATCCACCAAGTTTAACTTGAGTGGCAATTTTTTTCTCTTTATTGTTTGTTTTGCTTCCTGAAGTCAGATCCCAGAACTAGAGTGAGGCAAGTGAAGTAAATGGAGGATCGGATACAGTATTTAAATTTTTTATTTTTTAAGAAATTATGGGTTTGGTGTGTGTATTGCTGTTTTTAAAAATCTTGTTTACTTTTTCTTTTTTTTAAGTGCCCTCTTAAAGTTTTGCTTTTGGGTGCAGTACCTTATTTGCCTTACTCTTGTCCTAGCCTTGCCTAAATTACAGTGGGTTTTTTTTTCTGGCTTGCAGAGTTCTCCTAAAGGGATTCGAGCACATCCAGAAAGCAGGAAGGAACCTGAATCTGATGACCATAGCAATGCTGAATCACAGACCACTGGGAAACAAAATTCAGTCCCTAAAACTTCTAAAACCAGGAAGAAGAGCAGAACTACAGGCTCACTACCAGAGGTGACTGAATCATCTAGTGATGGAGACATCTCTGAAGCAGGGACACATTATTCTGTGTCTGAGCACCAGGATCCCATTTTAAGAGTAACTAGGAGAAGGCAGATCTTAATTGCATGCCCTACAGTATCCAGGGTTAGGAAAAGATCAAAAATAACTCCAACAAATGAGTCTGAAGAAATCGTCTCTGAAGCAGACTCTCATGCTTCAGGTATTTCTAGAATTGTTTTCTCCCCAGAAAGAACTACAAGAACCAAAAGTAATAAGGCTGAATTTCTGACGGATCCAGGCCAAAATTCACATATAGAAGCTGTATCTATTGCTGAGTTATCATGTTCGGACATTTCATCTTCTGGAATTGCAACTGGGACAACAACCAGGAGTATGCAGAAGAAACTACAGGCATGGACTAAGAAGAAAGATAGTAAGATTGTGCCAGGAAATGAGAAGCAAATAGTGGATACGCCTGTGAATTCAGAAGATTCAGAAGCCAGACAAACCTCTCATTTACAAACAAGATCTCCTTCTCAGATAAATAAGATAGATTTCTATCATAATGACTTTGATGATTCCTTCCACAGAAATTCAGAAAAATTACTAACTGGGCAAAAATGTCAGCATTTTACTGTAAGAGAGGACAAACAGGCCAGTGTTGCATCTCTTAAGGAAATAAAACAGAATTGTAAGGATTTGAATGAAGATGCCAACAAAATAATAGATGAGGAAAAAGAAAGTAATGAGAAGAGTTCTCAGGTGAAGAGTGATTCTGAACCTGAGGACACTTGCCTTCAGCAGTTACTTTCTCAGAGACATTCAACCCCCCAAAATAACAAGGCCATATCAGGGCCTTGTAAAATGAACTCAGAGGCTATAGTGAAATCGTTAGCTCAAACATTTGCAGTTGTGGAAGTTGACAGGTGGAATGAAGAGAAAAAGAGCATCATAAAAAGTGACTTGACAAAGTCTGGGGATTGTGGTGGTAGTGATGGTGATGAAGAGTCCACAACTACAGGTGTTAACGAAGACAACATTGAAAAGAATGCAGATTTTGAATGTGATACCAAACTGTACATATCTGAGCTCAATACAGCTAAAGATAAAAGTGATTCTGTTTTATTAGTCCTCAGCAGTGATGAAAGCCAGCAGTCTGAAAACAGTGAGAATGAAGAGGACACTGTGTGTTTTATTGAAAATAGTGACCAAAGAGAGTCGTTAAGTGAAGATCCTGGAAGTGTGTCATATGACAACGCATTGTTTGTAATTGACACAACTCCCGGATTGAGTGCTGATAAAAATTTTTACTTGGAAGAGGAAGACAAGGCAAGTGAGGCTGCTCTTGAGGAAGAAATAGAAGAAGAGGAAGAGGATGAAAAAAGTGAAGAAGAAACATCGGACCATGACAAAAGTGAAGATGAATTTAGCGATGAAGATGACTTATTGAATAGCACAAAGTCTAAACTGTAAGTTTTACCTTTATAAGTAAATTTTTGATATATACTTCATATGATTACCATAAAAATATGAAATGTAAGAAAGCATGGGAATTGAGAAAATTACTGCCTTGGGTTCTTATGGAAGAGCTCTTCTAGCCAGCATTTTCCTCATTTTGCTGGATACCTCATATATTTCCCACCAGTGATAGCTAAAAAGTGTTCCTTTTGGTGATATCTTGGCCCTCTGCACTCAAGAGAAATCTCATGGATCACGTAAGCCACACTTTTTTGCAAAACAGTGAAAAACAAATCATTTCATATTAAATAGTATAGGTGTTGGGACCATTTTTTTGGGTAATGATATTTGAATTATAATGAAATTTTGAACACTGAGGAACTTTATGACAAAAAAATCAAAATTTTATATCTTATATTTTTCTGACGTGTGAAACCATCACTGACATGGATTGCAGGTTCATGAATATATGTTGTGTAGCAATAGTTTGTCGCCTTCCTCCTGGTGTTTTTCTATTCTAGCAGGCAGTGCAGTCTCGTTTACTTCCTTCCACATTAATATGTAATTTATTGTCCAGTCTGCACCGCTGTGAAAGCACTTCACACGTTCTCTTTCTACATAACGCCAGCTGATTTTTTTAAACGTGTATCAGTTTATATTCCATCTCTTTATTTGCTCTTTTGTGTTATTTGAGTGGAAAACTTCAAGGAAACATACATTTTTTAAAAATTTGTGCTGGCATAAGTTCATCCTTATAATCACCAGCAACCTCTTTATGTCCCTGGAGCGGACCATTCAAGTTACTTGCTAGATTAACAATGTCCCCTCAGAGGGGACAGCAGAGTACAAAGTATATCTGTTAAGATTTTCCTGCATGACTGTTAAGAGCAATATAAAAGAGAGAAGAAAGTAGCTTTTTTTTTAACTTTTACTTTTTTTATTTTAAAGACGTGAGATACAATCAGGGTTAGGTACACAAATGTTCATTATGCAGGTACCCTTGTTGATGAGATGTGCCCCCCCTTCCCCAGGAAGACTCCTACTACTGTCAATCCTGTTTCCCACCCCTCTCCTGGCAGCTTCCTGCTACTGCCAATCCTTTTCTTATAGTATTATAAGTTCAAGGTCCACTTATGAGTGAGAACATGTGATACTCAGTTCTTCGATTCTGTGAAAGATCACTCAGTATTGTAGACTCTTAAGTCCATTCAGGTTGCTGTGAAGTTGATGATTTTGTTCTTCTTTATGGCTGCGAAATATTCCATCGTGTGTATGTACCACATTTTTTTTTTATCCAGTCCTCTTTTGATGAGCAGCATGGTTGGTTCCATGTTCTTGCTATTGTGAACAATGCTGCGATAAACATAAATGTGTAGGAATCTTTTTTTATAGAGTGATTTGAGTTCTTCCGGGTATATTCCCAGGAGGGAAATTGTGGGGTCGTATGAAAGGTTGATTTTTAGATCTTTTAGGAGTCACCACGCTGTTTTCCACAGAGGCTATACTAGTTTACACTCCTACCAACAGTGTAGAAGTGCTCCCTTTTCGCTTCATCCTCTCCGGTATCTGTTGTTTTTTGAGTTACTGATTATGGCCATCCTGACTGGAGTAAGGTGGTAACTCAGTGTAGTTTTAATTTGCATTTCTTTGATGACTAGTGAGTCTGAGCAGAAGGAGCAGCCAGGTACAAAGGGTTAAAAATCATCTGTTAAGATTTTCCTGCATGATTGTTAAGAGCAGTACAGAAGGGAGGAGAAAGTAGCTTTTTTTTACATGTTAATTGTGGAGGAATTGAGAAATAGACATATGAGAAAGTCACCTATAATCCAATCCATAACCCATTGAAAAGTGCTCATATTTAGAGCTTTTTGTTTTCCTCATGTATTTATTTATTTTATTCATTCATTCATACATTCATTCGAGTCAGGATCTCACTCTGTCATCCAGGCTAGAGTGCATTGGCACACTCACGGCCTCTGCAGCCTTGACCTGCTGGACTCAGGCAATCTTTCTACCTCAGCATTCCAAGTAGCTGGAACTCAGGCACGTGCCATCATGCCTGACTAATTTTTCTTTTTTTAATTGTAGAGACAAAGTCTTGCCAAGTATCCCAGGCTGGTCTCAAATCCCTGGGCTCAAGTAATCCTCGCCTCTGTGTTCCACAGTGCTGTAATTACAGGTGTGAGCCACCATACCTGGCCCACTTTTTCTGCTGTAAACTTGTTTTTCCTAGGCAAAGTCCCCTGGTGGCAGTGTATCCACTAGAAATAGGCAACCTTGAAAGGAACTACATATAACAGATGCCCAGTCTTTACTTGCAAACCAATGAAATCAATCTCAGGCTAGGCTCAGGCATACTTGTTTTTCAAAAACCACATTCTTCTTCACGTTAATTGTAATGTACATACAGGGTTGAGAATTACTGCCGAGGCAATGCAGTAGAATGATTTCACTTTCTGGTAAAGGTTTATTATGCTTTTAGCCATAATAATTGGGGAAGAAAATGACAATACATCCAAAACATGCTTGCTTGTAAGGAGGACCCTTCCGTAATATAAAGTAAAAATTCTTATTACATAAGTATAACAGGGGTCCAGGCCAACTATGGAAAATTCTGATTTGCTAGGTCTAGAGTATGATATTAACATTCTCAAAATACTTCTGTGCGATAGATGCTCGTTGCTATATCACTTATTTAGAAAGACCAAGTGCCCTTACTCATCCAGGAAACCAGATTCAAGAACCTGCCTTCTCACTGGTTTTAGAGATGGAGATACATATGTTTATTAACTCACTACCTATATATGAAGTTGAGATAAATGGCTGAGTATATTCCTTTCTGCCCTCTTCTGTAATTTCTTTCTTTATGAAATCTATCTTTAAGAAAATCTGGGGAGTAGATTTGGATGTTTCCTCAGAAGGTGTTTTGTTTAATTTATTATTTATTCAGGGTTTCTTCTAAATTACTAGATTTAAAATACATATTTATTCAGTTTTTCAGGAACTCTATTTTAAAAATAAGATGCTTTTTTTTTGTCATTGACAACATAAGGGAAGAAAACAATAAGGGATTTTTAAAAATGCAATTTTATTTTGTTACATTTTGATTTACTTACTTGATCTTTAAGTGATAATTTCTCTTTCAGTCTGAAGTTAACAAGCAGCAGCATAGACCCTGGTCTGAATATCAAGAAGTTGGGTGGTTTGTATATTAATTTTAGTGCAGACAAACTACAGTCTAACAAGAGAACCCTAACACAGATCAAAGAGAAAGAGCAAAATGAGGTAAGTTACATGAATTCTTGTGTTAGGTTTTTTCCCACGGGGCTAACCAATTACTTCTAGAAATCAGTCCTTTGATAAAAGAATAATTTCCCTACAGTGAAAAACCTTATTGGTCTTATGTGTTCCTTTTTCCTTTTTTCTTGGTTTTTTTGGTTTTTTGCTTGTTTGTTTTGAGGAGTCTCACTCTGTTGCTCAGGCTGCAGTGCAGTGGCATGCTCACAGCCACTGCAGTGGCATGCTCACAGCCACTGCAGCCTTGTCCTGCTGGGCTCAGGTGATCCTTCTGCCTTAGCCTGCCAAGTAACTGGAACCACAGGTATGCACCACCAGTGAGGTCTTGCCAAGTCATCCAGACTGGTCTCGATCCCCTGGACTCAGGCAGTCCTCTCACCTCTGCCTCCCATAGTGCTGGGATTACAGGCATGAGCCACTGCACCCGGCTTTTTTCTCCTTTTTCTAAAGCAGTCATTAATTTTTTTAAAATAAAATTCTATCTGTAAAAGATAACGCATAAAAAATAAATTAATACAGAATCAGTATTTCTTTTCTTTCACCCACCAACTATGATCCCAGGAGCTCTGTTTTCTTCTCTGTTCTTGCTATACTTTTAGTTTTTAAGTTCTTAACAATTGTGACCCTGTTGAGAATTTGAAAGCTGTGAGTGCCTGCCTTCTCCACCAGGAGAAAAATGCACATGTGCGTGTTGATGTATAATTTTACATGTAGTTTCAAAAGAAAACTAAGGTAACCTTACCCAAACTCTTAGATTTAGCCAGCACTTTGTACTTCTTTCTCTCAAGTCTGTTTTCTAGCCTTGATTGCTCTTAACTTCAGATCTTTACATGCAAGTGCCTGTGTTTGTTCATTTAGATGTCCTAGGAGCACTTGACCTCCCTAATTCCCAGAACATACCCTGCTCTTTCCCAGGCAAGTGCAGCGATCATTGGTCACTATCCTTGGGAAACATTCTTTGACTCCCTGTTCTTCCCCCACAACTCCCCTATGCTTCTGTAACATCAATTCATTACAGAATAATGATCAGTTCATTATTGATCATGTGATATAATTGTTAACTTACTCTTTTATCTTTGTATTCCTAAAATGGAGTTTCTCAATCTCCGTATTCCTGGTATTTTGGACTGCATAATTATGCTGTGGCAGGATGTCCAGTGTATTGTAGGATGTTTACCATCCTTGGTCTCTACTCACTAGATGCCAGTAGCATTCTCCTTTCTCCCCACCACCACCAAAGATATCCCCAGACATTGCCAAATGCTCCCAATTGAGAACCATTGTCCTAGAGCCTAGTATAGTACTTTTTTGTTAAGTAAATATCATGCCCTCTTTTCTGAGGGATAGGAAAACCTAGACTGCTATTGTACCACCCAAAAACTTCTAGGCCTGAACCTAAATTGGATGACTGTTAATTTCTGAGTTGATCATTTCTAATGTCATTCCCAAATTAATGCTTGTACTGTGTTCCTATGAACTAGTTTGGGGTCTAAGGAACATTCTTATTTTGTTCTTGTATTTGGGGAGATACTGTTTACCCTGAAGCTCCTTTTAATCACACAGTTTCAGAAGATTTAATTATCCTAGGGCAAGTAACAGAAAATGCAAAAACTACTTAGGAAGAAGATTAACAAATTTGACTACACAAAATTGTTAAATTTATATAAGTTTAAACTTGAATAAATCGTATAACATTCTGACATTTTAAAACCAATTTTGTTTTTATAGCTTCTGCAGAAGTCCATCATTACACCTGATTTTGAAAAAAACCACTCTGTCCCACCATATAGGGAATCAAAGTATCAACTTCAGAAAAAGCGCAGAGTAAGTATAGTGACTTACTTAGAATGCTTAGATGTGTTTGGCTGTCTGTTTCAGCCGAAGAAAATTATTACAGATATCTAAGGGTTGTAAAATACGGTTACATAAACACATTTTGTATGGTTTTTAACATCTTTGCAGCCACAGTGGTACATGTATAGGTATAGCTTTTTTTAAGCAACATCATAGAGATTGCTTTTATCTGTTGTTTCAAGTAGCTATCAAGAGAGCTTAGAGGAAAGGTAAGGATGGTATTCTAATAAAGTCACTTGATAGGGAGCTCCTGGCACATGGTAGGAGCTCATTAACTATTTCTTTTATGAATAAAAATAAAATGATATAACTGGCTAGGAAGAATAGTAGTTTCTATTTTATTTTAGAAATAATAAAGATTTCTAGACCACAGTGTTGAGTGGCTTTCTGAGACAGCTGGGCAACTGAATAAAAATAATGTTTGCATATAAGTTCTAGATGTGAAAATGTTTTTTGTACATTATCTCTTATATGGTCTATTTTAGACAATTTAGAAAATATATATGTATATATTTTTCTTGTTTGATTTGGTTTGGTTTTTGTGTTTTGAGTTGGGGTCTTACTTGGTTGCCCAGGCTGGAATGTATGACACAATCATGGCTCACCACAGCCTCAACCTCCTGAGCTCAGGTGATCCTTCCACTTTGGCCTCCTGAGTAGCTCGGACTACAGGGTTGGACCACTGTGTCCGCCTAATTTTTTTTAAACTTGTGGAGATGAGATCTCAATGTATTGCCCAGGCTGATGGCCAACTTCTGGGCTCAAGCAGTCCTTTTTCCTTAGCTTCCCAAAGTGCTGGGATTACAGATGTGAGCCACCATGCCTGGCTGAAAATTGAAGTGTAACTCCCAGCAAGTCAGCAGTTACTTACTGAAATACAAAGTAGATTTTAAGGAGCGCTCTCATTTACAAAACTAATAATGCTATGCCTAATTTGTCAGAGAAATAATTTTTTGTGATTTATAAAGATGATTCTGGAGATAAATGCTTTATATGAAGTAGCCATTTGTTTTTAATTAACAAAAATTTTTATATGTATGATTTTGGGGGAAATGAATTATAATGTATACGCTCAGCTGTTACAATATTTATTTCTGAAATCTGTATTTCAGAAAGAGCGGCAGAAAACAGCAGGGGATGGCTGGTTTGGTATGAAAGCTCCAGAATTGACAGATGAATTGAAAAATGATCTCAAAGCACTGAAGATGAGAGCAAGCATGGACCCAAAAAGGTTTTACAAGAAAAATGATAGAGATGGCTTCCCCAAGTACTTCCAGGTATGAAGCAAATAGAATAGTGGTAATGATCTGTGAATTTTTTTTTTTTTTTTTTTGAGTTGGAGTTTCACTCTGTCACCCAGACTGGAGTGCAGTGGCCGCTCCTGGCCACCGCAGCCTCGACCTGCTGGGCTCCTGCAGTCCTTCCTACTCAGCCTTCCAAGTAGCTGGAACTACAGGCACACGCTACCACACCCGGCTAATTTTTGATTTATTGTGGAGATGAGGTCTTGCCAAGTTGCCCAGGCGGGTCTCAAACCTGTGGGCTCAGGCAGTCCACTCACCTCAGCCTCCCAAAGTGCGGAATTACAGGTTGAGCCACCGAGCCTGGCTGGTGTGTGAATTTCAGTTTGGAAAGCACTATAGTGGTCTTTAAAGTTTTCTCTTAAAATAGATAAATATTTACAGTGTGCATGCCTAATATTGACAATACCTGTGTGTAGGCCATATGATAATGAGCAGAACCCAACTCAGCTACTAGTTTATAATGGGGTCCCATGTAGAGAGACAGTATTACACATGGTTTTCAGGTCTAAAACTTACTGAACCTATAAGGTTCAATTTGTGAACATATGAATAGTACTAGCATAAGAACAAGGATCCATGCAGGATGGAGAGGCAAAGGGGGAATCATTTGTATCAATCCCCTTCTTTTGAGTTTCACTCTGTCACCCAGGCTGTTGTACTGTAGCCTTGATTTCCTGGGCTCAGGTGGTCCACCTCATCTTCCCAAGTAGTTGGGACTATAGGCACTGCACCAGCATGCCCAGCTAAGTTTTTGATTTTTTTGTGGAGATAAGGTCTTACTGTATTGTCCAGGCTGATCTCAAACTCCTGGGCTTAAGCGATCCTCTCGCCTCTGTCCCCAAAGTGCTGAGTTATAGGCATGAGCCACTGCACCCAGACTCCCTTCCTGTCTTCAAAGTAGAGGAGCATCTACAGGCAAATTCTGAGAACAGTTAAAAAGTTGGTGTTTTTGTTTTTGAGTTGGAGTCTCACTCCGTCGCCCAGGCTGGAGTGTAGTGGCATGCATGCGCACAGCCACCCCAGCATCGACCCGCTGGACTCGGGTAATCCTTCCGCCTTTCAAGTAGCCAGAACTACAGGCCTGTGCTACCACACCTGGCTAATTTTTTAAAATTTATTGTCGGGATGAGGTCTCACCAAGTTGCCCAGGCTGTTCTTGAACCCATGGGCTCAGCAGTCCCTTCACCTCAGCCTCCCAAAGTGCTGGGATTACAGGCTTGAGCCACCGCACCCGGCCGAAAAGTTGGTTTCCAGAGTGTCTTTAGATGAAAGTCCATCTGACTCGTCCTCAGGTGCACTTCGTTCTTGACTGCCTTGTCACTCATCTCTGGATTAGTGTAATGGTCTTCTGCCTACAGGTCTGCTCCTCCAGTCCATCTTTCATACCGTAGCCAGTCATGTATTACAAAGAAAAAAAACGTGTTCGTGTTACACCTGTGCTCTGAAACTTTCAGTGATTCTTTATGACCTGTAGGGTTAAGTCTGTATACCTTACTTTGGCTCTTAATAATCTGCTCCCAAACCAGCTCGCTTGCCCTTCTTTTTGTCACATGGCCCTTTTATATTCCAGCACACTCAGCTATTCAGTCTTCTCAGAATGTACATACCAGGCTTTGCATCCTTTGAATGCGCACGTTTGGTTCTTGTTTGTTTGGTGAAATTGTATCCATACATATCCAAGCTAAATTGTCATCTGTCAAACCTTCCTAGGTAGAATGGGTTACTTAGTCCTCAGAGCATCCATAGTGTTTTGTTCAGTATATGTTACTCTTAATTTTTTAGTTACCTTTCTGGTGTTTCCTCAAGGCCAGACTCCTTGTTGCAAGGACCAGATGTTTTTGGTGTTTGTTTCCCTACACGTAGCACAGTGCCTGGCACATAGTTGTGACTGTAAATTTGAGCCAGTTGAATGTAGGAATAAATACAGGGTGGTGACTAAATATGCTGTAAGCTGGCAGCACCTAGGGGGCCAAATAGTGTGTAGTAGAATGTATGTGGCTAATTCATTGATTTCGGACACTAAAACAAAAAGTTTATATTACTTGTTCCATTTTTTGTCTTTTAGTTACACGATTCATTATGAATTTACTGTTTAGCACTAAATTATATAAAAGAAATGTTGGATATACTGTAAACTGATGAGGAAACATTAGCACCAGTGTGCTGCTACATTTTTTGCTTAAAAAGTGGCAAAATAATATTAGTATAACATAAGCTTGTGTTTTCCATTCCTTTCTGTAAATATACTTAGCTATATAAAAGCAATTTGGCAATTTGGCATTCAGATATTGTATGTCTTATTTCAATCAATTGTTCATAGATTGGAACCGTTGTTGACAATCCAGCTGATTTTTACCATTCACGAATTCCCAAGAAGCAAAGGAAAAGAACTATTGTGGAAGAATTGCTGGCCGATTCTGAGTTTAGAAGGTAAAGCAATTTATTATTTTATAATATGTAAAAGTTTCCTTAAAATATGTGTAAACTTCTAAAATATACTCATTTTAAAAGAATAACCCATTAACATGAGTATATGTTTGCATGAACATAAAACAAATTTAGTGCACATCTCTTTAATGTCTGGCTTAATTAAAGACGGAGCCTCATAGGTGCTTCTGCAGATACCACATGTCCTGTAGCACTGGAAAACTGTATACTCATGAAAGAATGAGGATAAAAAAGGCAATTAACGCCTTAGTATTACTGAGAAATAGTTTTTACCTGATGGACCCTCGAAAGGGTTATCTGCAGACCACACCTTAAAAAACCATTGGTCTATAGCAATGCTTTTTAATACTCTGCATTTTCAGGTTAAGTGTAACTGTTTTGCTTAGTCCTTATTTTTGCACTTTTATCCCAGAAAAATGTTGAACACATTTGACCACACCTGGTAGATGATTACAGTGCTTGTGGCTCTACAGGCTGCCCATTTTTAAAAGTTCTCCTCCTACCTTTGCTGTGTTTTTCTCACTAGATTGCAAGCTTGGAAGGCAAGAGAGACTATAGCTGTCTTGTTCACTGGGCTATCTCCAGCATCTAGTATGGCTACAGATACATGGTGGCAACTTAGTACATATGTGATGAATACATAGTAAAAATGCAAAAAAATTTGGAGGTTTAGAACCCATGTCCCAAGATTATATTAACTTCTAATGCCTGGTGCACTGTACTTTAGAGGATAAAGGTTTGATTTTTCTTTTTAGATATAACCGAAGAAAGTACTCAGAGATCATGGCTGAAAAAGCAGCAAATGCAGCAGGAAAAAAGTTCCGAAAGAAGAAGAAATTTCGCAATTAAGATTTACCAAGAAAACCACATTTTTTGTCTCCCTTTTGCTTACTAAAGATGTTTGAAAACTAATGCTATCATCCGAGTTAATTTACCGTAGACTGGCCCTGCTTACGTGTGGATTTCTGTTTTGAAAAAGTTTGGGAGAGAGTTGATCACATGCCCCTTGGGAAATAGAGGTGTCTACAAAGATCCACCCCAGCTTATACTCTTTAAGGAGTAAAAGGGAAAAGAGTCTTAACCATTTTTAGGTACTTGATTTTTTGGTAAAGTTTTCAATGGTTGTGTAAAGCAAATGTAATTAAAAGATAGTATACAGCCAGGCTCAGTGGCTCGGCCTGTAATCCCACACTTTGGGAGGCTGAGGTGAGTGGATTGCCTGAGCCCGCGGGTTCGAGACCAGCCTGGGCAACTTGGCAAGACCTCATCTCTACAATAAATCAAAAATCATCCGGGTATGGTAGCGTGCGCCTGTAATTCCAGCTACTTGGAAGGTTGAGGCGGAAGGATTGCCAGAGCCCAGCAGGTCGAGGCTGCAGTGGCCAGCAGCGGCCACTGCACTCCAGTCTGGGCAAAAGAATGACACTCCAACTCAAAAAAAAGATAGTATAAAGTCTGCTGACATGTTCAAAAAACTTTTAAAAATGATCAGTGATGTAATAAGCTATTGTAATACATAGTTTTGTGTGTGTGCATACATGTAGGAAGGGAGCTAGTAGACAGACAGTGCCCTATAGTTAGCTGTGAATTCAGATCCAGAAATTGGAATACCAAGGTCTGCTTGTTTCTAGTATAAAAATCACAGTTGAAAACAAATGATAAAAAGTGTTACTGGAGCAAGTCTATGCTAGTGTAAAACCAGAGAACTGAGTAAAGCTATAAATAGGACTTAAAGGAAGACTACCTAAAAAGCATGGGTTAAATGTAGAAGATATAGGAGAGCTGTTATCCTTTCTTGGCAACTGAAGCAGGAGGAATAACAGATTTTTATCCTGATTTAATGTTGTGTTCCAAGTAAAACAGGGCTAAACAATATAATTCTGACTTGGCCAGGAGGTGAAGTTGCCCAGCTTTTAAGTTTCCAGTGACACAAGTCTGCATCCTGTCTGTGCATTCTGGCACCCAAGGAGCACTGGTCATTTCTCGATACCTATTCAGTGAATTCAAGCTGAAATTATTTAACTAAAAATCATCTAAAGTCACCTATTAACATCTATTGCCAGGCTCGGTGGCTCAGCCTGTAACCCCGCGCCTTGGGAGGCTGAGGTTAGTGGATTGCCTGAGCCCGCGGGTTCAAGATGCGCCTAGGCAACTTGGTGAAACCTCATCTCTACAATAAATCAAAAAATTAGCTGGCGTGATAGCGCGCGCCTGTAGTTCCAGCTACTCAGAAGGCTGAGCAGAAGGATCGCTGGAGCCCAGCAGGTTGAGGCTGCGGTGGCCGGGAGCAGCCACTGCACTCCAGTCTGGGCGATAGAGTGAGATGCCAACTCAAAAAAAAAAGAAAAAATCTATTGTAGGGAATTAAAACATAATATATGTAGTTTTTTCATGTCAAATATGATCCTCACAGATTTATTTATTTATTTATTTATTTTGGGTTGGAGGCTGTTGCCCAGGCTGGAGTGCAGTGGCACACTCATGACCACCACAGCCTTGACCTGCTGGGCTTAGGGGATCCTTCTGCCTCAGCCTTCCAAGTAGCTGGAACTACAGGTGCACGCTACCACACCTGGCTAATTTTTTATTTATTGTAGAGATGAGGTCTCACCAAGTTGCCCAAGTTGGTCTCGAACCCGCAGGCTCAGGCAATCCACTCACCTTGACCTCCCAAAGTGCTGGGATTACAGGCTGAGCTACCGAGCCCAGCCACACAGATTTATTTTAAATCTTCACAGCAGAGTAAAGAATATCTGAAAGTATAAGTAAAGATCGGAAGGTAGGAAACTTCAGGCTTCTAGTCTCTCCGTGCTCCTGGCCTTCTGCAAATACCTGGATTTGTCTTGCTTTTTAAGCAAGTCTCTCAGGTTTTAGTGAACTTGGCTTGTGTCAGTAAGCTCAGTTCACCTACTCGAACTATTTTAAAGCTTAATGACTAACAAAGTACCAGAAAAGCATAAAGAATACAAGTGAGTACTACAGTAGGATGTGCCGATAAATGAATGGCCTTCAAAATACCCAAGAAGATCTTGAAAGATTTCTAACGGAATGCTGTACTTATATACCATCTTGCTCCAACATTCTTTTAAAACAGCTTACTAAAAAAATGCCTATGAAATTAGAAAATTGAGGCCAGGAAAATGATGGAAGAAAATAATGAAGCCAGGGTGACAATACAATAGATTCTGTGAAAATACAGTTGGTAAGCTGGGCTCTGGGCTAGCTTCCTAGCATCCAGCAATGTTCTGTGTTCAGTGTCCTGCCATATGATAAACCATCTGCTCTAGAGAAGCACCTATTATTAAGACTTGAGAAAATGTCTCATGGGGGTCCCTCCCCATAGCAAGAATATCACACTAGAGGCCATCGTTGGCTGTCCTGGGGATAAATGGCAGGCTTAAGGGAAAGGGCAGGAAGCTGGCAGGAAGGTTGTACAGAAAAGTTCAACAAAACCTTAGTAACTGCGATGAATTGGGCTCTGCTAACACTGTCTCCTCCCATGGCACTCCTGGCACTTAGGGGTGCTATAAGTTTCCTGCTGCTGCCGTCTCTGGGTTGCCTACACAGTAATTGTCACCTGTGAAACAATTCCCTGTATTACATTCTCTATAAAGCGAAGTGTTTTTCTGCCTGAACCATTTGGAGCATTCAGTCAGATAGAGTCACTCGCACAGCAGGTTCCACACCATGGGTAGTACATTTTCACCTTGATGCCTTTGTTCATATGGTTAACTCCACCTAAAATATCTGTTCGGCCTTTATTTCACTAACAAAATAGGACTGACCTCAAGCCTATTCATCAAGTAGTGAGCATCTAGTTTGTGTGAGGCCCACCCCAGGTGCAGGGCTGCACCAGAGAGGAGGCCACCCAACTACCACAGGGCTGATGATCTGCAAGTGTCCACGAGACCTTCAGGTTCCCTCTACTGCTGTGTGTACTCCTGAGATCACCCTTTGACTGTGCTTACCTATACAGCATTTATTAAGTGTCAGAGACCATTCTAAGAACTTTCAAAGATAACTTATTTTTATGTGACTCTTGTGTATGAAGGTATGTATGTACACTTGCAACGTATTCATATGTAACAACTTAGGTGTTACATAAACCTATGAGGTAGGTGCTATTGTCCCATTTTGTAAGTGAAAAACGGGCACAGAGGTTAAGTAAATTCTCTAAGAGAATTTGGTCACAGAGCTAATGAATGTTAAGTCTCTTTGTCACACTTTTAGCCTGATAACCTGTTTCCACATCGCTGTCGGAAACCACTGGACTTTTTTATTCCTACAGGTACAGAACACATGATTTTTAGCTGGGAATGTGGCATCCTGCCCATGGGATGTGAGCAGGAGTGGCACATGCAGCTTCTGAGAAGTGACTTCAAAGCAGGATGAGGCTGGAGTGGGGGCCCTTTACCTCCTCCCCACCAGCTGGCATGTTGTCCTGACAGCAGGGGAAAGGAGTCACATCTTGGAAGAGGAAATGGAAGCTGCATTTTAAAGATGAAAGAGTAAAAAAGTATCTGGATCGCTCATGATTAAATAGCTGCTATTTCCTGGACTTTGACCTGAGAGAAAAACCCTCTATCTTGTCAAATTCACTGTTATTTTGGGTTTCCAGTCATTCCCAAAACCAGTTCTAATTAGTGGAGTCACCAGCTCATGGTTCCCTGTCCCTCACCAGGCTGAACTTTTTTTTTTTTTTATTAATCAGTATTTTTTATTATGGTTTTGTGGGGTACAGTTAAGG